TTTAATAATCTGTTTATTTCTCTTGGAACTACTTTTTTTCTGAGCTTCATGAAAGGATTAGGTCTTTTGAAACAAAGATAATCCCTTTAAAAATTATCAAGACTCATAAATTTACTTGTAAAAATGAACTGAATGACCTAGAAATGCTTTATTTCTAACTGAACGATCCAAAAAAAGTTCAGTCACTATCAAATTTCCAACAAATTTTCGGGGGGCTAAAACTTTGGAAATTTGAGACTTTGCGTGCTGGCACGTGTCAATGTTAAAATAACTCGGAAGATTCATTAAACATCCAAAATCGTCCAGTCGAACTGATTCTTTTCTATCAAAGTTACCAAAACTGAGATAAATTTGAAGGGAAAAAATTACCCAACGACAAAATTTGAGCGCCAAAACGTCCAAATACAAATCACATGTGTACTGATAAAAAAAGAAGTTTGACGGAAACGATTTGATAGTGAAGGTCCATTACAAACTGATAACGGAACCAGTTCACAACTCGTACTGAAAATCGTCATCCGACATTCCAAATCAACTCAAAAACTGTCAAAGGAACTGTGTAAGAAACGGAGAAATGATCTTGGTTGTTGAGTTTTCTGAGTCATGCAGGTTTCTATCATATTCTACGTGAAATAAGTCTATTCCTTAACCTTTTTGTATATTTTTTTAAAACTTAGATTTCCAACGTTTATTTGCGAAAAAAATCCGTTTTAACTTTGAAATTTAATCTATTTTCAAAAAGTTGTATGAATAAATTTTTTTCGAAAAAAAAAATAGCCCCGAGATCTCAATTTTCTTCTGAATTCCTTCAAAAAAATCTGATTTTGAAGTTGAAAAAAATGAGCCGAAATTGAACCGCGGCTAATTTCTGCAAAAAAAGCTACGGAAAAATTTCTTAAAGCAACAAAAAAATCGAAAAAAATGAGCTGCGGCTAATTTTTAAACTTAATTTTCATTTTTTTAAACTTAATTTTTCAACCTCTCGATCATGATCTCTGATAAGTACCGGAAAAAAAACAAACAAAAAAGTGTCCATTGAAGACGAAAAAGGACACATTTTCCTCTGAATGGAACGAAAAAAGTGCAGATTGGAGCTCGAAGACCTTCGAAAAGGGGAAGAAGAAGAACGGCAGACAAATACACAGAATGCGAGAGAGTGAGAGGGGCGAGAGAGGCAGACAGCGGTCAGCACAAGGTTGCCCCATCGCCAAACGCCCTCGGGGCTAAAAATTCATAGAAAGGAGGGAGGAGAATCGTTTATGCAGCAGCGGAAACTCTTTCTCTGGGCTCACGGAAAAAATAAACTGCAGTTTAGGCAGAAAAAATGGGTATTTATTATAGATGGGTATCTGGAAAACAAGCTGCTAAAAGCCTTTGAAAACGTTCCTACCAGAGTTTCTTTCCTTTCTTTTTTTTCCTTCTTAAATTTACTTAAATTTTTTTTTTCACAAATACGATAACTGGCCTGAAAGTGAAGATCTAATTTTAAAAAGATCATAAATTAAGGGTTGAGGAGCAAAAAAATAAACGCTTTTGCGCTCTACAGATAAAAATAGTCGGATGCAATAAATCCACAGGAAAACGAGATTTAAAGCGGAATCAGAGAAATTTTTTCACAGATACATGAAGGAAAAGCCAAAAAGATCAGACATTTTGCGCTCTATCGATAATAAAGCGCAAATCTACTGAAAATTTTTTGGCAAAGTTAAACTTCACAAGACAAAACAGGAAAATTGACGTTTCCAACAAAAATACGTGAATTCTTGGAAAATTGAGAACTTCATTAATATCATTACGAAAACGATTGAAACCCGAAAAAAACTGTGAAAAAAAAGAGAAAAAATTGGGAACTCTAATGTATCGATTCAAATAAGCGAGAGCAGAAATAACTGGCGGCAAAAATTGACCCCAAGATTAAACTACAGAGAAACAGTAAAAAAGAATATTGCCTTGTAGGTCAAAAATAGTGTAGTTGAGTCCGAAAAAAGTCATTCTTTATATCCAAAGTTAAAGAAAAGATTTATCTTGATTCCACATCTCAAAAAAAAACTGTTAAAAAACTAAAGAATACCTGGAAAAAAGCTAGATATTGGTTTTTTACTGTAACAGCTTTGAAAGTTTTCCAAATTACACCGAAAAAAAAAACTTTCCGCTAATTTTCAACCATTCATTTTGTTACCTAGAGTTCTTTCCGCTTATGGTCAGTTCAAAAACTCCGAAAAACTAGAAAAACACTGGAAAATGGTTCAAAAGGCCAAAAAAAAAAAGCTTGTAGCAGAGTCCAAACTACACCCAAATGGAGAGAAAAATCTTGAAGGTCCGCTGTAGGTTAGAGAGCAAAGGTCGATGGAGAGGTCAGAGAAGACATAGAGTAGCGTGTGACCCTCTCTGGTGACGTCATTACGAGGGGGCAAAGGGTCAAAACAAATGACGTGGGCCAGCGCGGCGAAATCACACGGTGTCACTCAAGGGACCTCTTGATTGAGATTGATTTCCCGAATAATGATCCTAAGGGACCTCTTAAGTGTTCAGGATCGTGAAAAAAGTGAGAAAAAAACTTTTCACTCTGAAAAAAATTAAGAAAAATTCGGAACTTTCTTATACTTTTTTAAAATTTGAACCTTGATTTTTTTTATCATTTTTTTCCGGTTACAAAAAAACTCAAAAAAAAAGAAAAATCTGTCAAAGCCTGAAAAAAATTTAGAAATTCAAATACTTTTGCACAAAATTGATGATTTTCCATGAAATCTTAAGCTATGAAACTTTTGAATGTGTTCAAACGAGAGATAAACATTGGTAAAAAAATCAAAAAAATCCCTTCAAATTTTCTAACATTGAAGTCTAGGAAAAAGCTGGAAAACTTCTTTAAAATTCTCAAAATACAGCTTTTTTTTTTTTGAAAACCGATGTTTACATCTTTTTCCACTAATAATCACTCAACTGACTGGTTTATCGAAACTTTTGACAGCTTTATCAAAGTTATCCTTCTAAGCGCTTTAACTCCGCAAAAAAGACAAATATTTATCATTGAAAAATCTCAAAAATCTCTCATTTTTTTCTTTCCAATCAGCTCAAAAATGCCCTATAAACACCCTCAAAATACACTATAACTTTGTTTTCAGCAGCTAAAACTAGTTGAAAACAGAGTGGAACTTGATAAAGTGTTTTCTGAAGGAAAATAGTTTCTAAAATCAAAAAAATCGTGCCAATGTTGATCAAAGCTGTTCAAACGTATACAAAAAAATCTGCCTTTCTCAAATTTAATGAGAAATATTCGTTTTTCGTGGAGTTAAAGTTTTGAAAACTTTGACATTTCAACATTCTGACTACGAAAAAGCTGCAGGAATTCATTGAATTTTTCCTGAAGGTGAGAAAAAGTAAGAAGCTTTGAAAAATTTTTGAACCTTTTTAAATTTCAAAAAAATGAAGTAAAAAAATCGCTTTTAAGTTAGAAAAAAGTTGGATTTTTTTGTGATTTTGGTAAAGCAGACCTCGAAAAATGTTCATAATTTGAAGAAATATGAGAAATACGTACTCTCAGGCCATCAAAATCTTGGAATTTTTGAAAACTTGAAAAAAATGGCCACCATGCCTTGTTCAAAGTATTTTCCGCGATATTCAAAACTATCTCTGACTCTCCAAAATTTAATTATCTTTCTCTTTCACTGACGACTATTTTGATTTTCGCGGGATCACTCTGGAAATGGCGGCACAAAAGTCGCGCACTGACCGACTTATTCCGCTCTATCAAAAGTCCCTCAAGAATAAAAAAATCTCAATATTCCATGAGTGAAACAGGCATTTGTCCTATTAGGCCGTTCCCCTTGCAACAACAAACGAAGCCTCGCGGGAGGAAGCACGTGACCGACGAGAAAAGGGACCAAAGACTCGGAAAGGTCGGCGACCAGTGACGTCACGAGAAGAGATGCCAAGTCCCAGCCGAAAACGTTTCATCAACGATCCATCATCACAGAAATCAATCAGCAGGGTAGCAAGTAAAAAAACAAAAACAAAAAGGGTAAAACGGAAAAAAGTTTGATAGATGACTCTCAGAATGAACTGAAAAGGTTTTCTTAAAGCCTATAATATGATGGAAAAAAAAGCCTTTGAGCTCTTTTTTCATAGCCTCAGAGGATTCTTTTTGAACCTTTTCAGTTGGTTTCCAACATCTTTTTGGTTGAAAAGGTGAAATAAAAAGGACTTCTTGAGGACTCTCGAAAGATTTTCTTTTTTCAAAAAAAAATTTTTTCCTTTCAGCTTCAGAAGGAACATTTTTTAGATAGGAATTTGGAATGTTCTATAACTTCTCCCAAAGACTCTCTGAAGGTACAGATGAAAGTATATGTGCTCGTTCAGAACGGGAAATGCAAAATACAGATATTTTAGAGAATAGGAGGAACCAAAATAGGGAAAATCAGGGAAAATCATTTAACCCCCGGTCTGAAAAATACAGGCAAATGAGGTGAGTCCAGTATAAGGATGGTAAGATTTTTCTAACTTGTTCAAAAAGTATCTGAAGGTCTAGTTGAAAATTCTCCTTGGAGATATCAATTTTCAAAGCTGCTTTTCAGTTGAAAATAAAAAAAAAATCTGGAAAATGCAAATCCAGCAGTTTATTTCAAGCTTTCAAAACCTGTACTCGTGAAAAAAAAAATGATTCAAAAATTTCGATTTCAAAAAAGTACAGATAATCTTTATAAAGCTCAAGAAATTAGATTTCTCAGAGAAAATTGAAGTTTCAGAGCTTGTTTTCTGATAATCGCTCAACTACACGAAAGAATCATTGGTTTTTTCGACGTTTCAATCATTACAAAAAAGGTGAGTGAAACAGTAAAGGCCTATGAGACCTCTTTTAAACTTCACATTTCCTCTTTCTTTCTAATCAGCCTTCAAAAAAAAAAGATCCTTTCTGAAAATATCTACATAGTCCGAAATCATTAAAAACCGTCATATTCCTTTGCAATCTTGGTCCAGAATCCAATTGTAACATCCATTGGTGATCATTTCCAAATATTGAATAGATTCGACTCCTTCTCCCAATCCGATTGTTTTCGATTACTATACTTGGAGCTTTTCCTGTCTAAAAAAGAAAAGAAGGGGCCTCGTACTTCTTTGATGAGAAGAGCCGTGTGGTTGATGGTCGGCGAGGTCAGATCCAGTCCGGAATCGAAACTTTTCATTCCGCCGTTGCCGCCGCTGGTGCCACCGAAGGAGCTCCGTTGGTAGAGCCGAGAGAGTGGCGGCCGGCGGCCCGGGGAGAACACTCAAAACCACAAAACTCTTTTCTTACAAGGCATGTCATTTTACTTTGCTGGGAAAATGTTTAGTGGGCCCTTTAGGGTTTTGAAGTTTTAGTGGCTACTATAGTATTTGAGTTGGTGGCCACTTAAGGGACTGGAATTTTTGTTTAGAAATCTAAGTGGTGCTACTAAACCACTGAAAACTAAAATAGTGGCCACTAAGCCACAAAATAGTAGCTACTATAGAGGTGTTTGCAGTGGCCACTTTAGTGTCCTTTCCAATTATTCTTTGAAAAAACTCTTAAGTGTCCACTAGGGTTTCCCCAGCGCGGTATCTTGAAATTTTTTCGGAAGACTTCTTAGAGTCCCAGATGAAAATTTGCAAAACTTTCTAGTTTTTGAGAAATAGGACTCAAAGTCTTAAAATTGCCTACTTTCACGGTTTTCTCCGACTTTGAAGTGTCCTTCCTCAAAAACTAACAAGTTGTACAAACTGTTTTTTGGGAAACTTACTAGCTTGTCCATCGACGGAAGCCGAAGTACGGGCGGCTATCGTTTGAGGCGAAACCAAGGGGCTACTCGACAGTTGAAGCTGCAAAAGATGGGAATCAAAATCAAAGAACAGCTGTATTTAAGTTCAACTTTTTGATTTTAAAATCTTTATTTTTTCTTTTTATCCTCCCGATAACCGTCTCATTTGTTCATTGGAGACTTGAAATTTTTTTTCGTTCTGAGTTCTCAATTTGTAGTAAATTTTCACTTTTCACTTTTCAAACATTATACTCTGGTTAAATATTCAATGATATTACCCTTCTCAGTGAGTTTTGAAGATTTGAACCTTCAAAAAAAAAATCAGAATAGGGCTACAATCAATTTCTTTTGCCTGCTACCCACTTGAAGACTTATTGCTTAACCCAAATCCCTCTAAAATTTTTTAAAAACTTAAAAATTGAGCTTCATTTTGATTTAAACTTCTCCACCGGTCTTTCTCAAGCCTTTCTTTCCAATTATTAAACATTTTTTTACATTGAAAATTGACGGAAGGTCAGTAGAACCTAAACTATAAGAGTCCAGTAAACGAACAAAATTTACCTTGAAAGCAATAATTTGCCGCGTCTGTGGGTTCGAAACAACGTACATTCAGGATTTCTCGAGAGATTAGCGAGAAAAAGTTGAAATGTACAAAAAATATAGTAGAGCTCCTTAAAAGAAGTATTCGGGAAAGTAGGAACGAAAATTCCACGAAAAAGAAAATAATTTTAACATGAAAATTCATTCGTCACGACCTCACGGGGAAAGACTTAACATAAGAGATTCCGTAAAAAACAACAAAATGTAGCTCTAAAATTAAGTCGTTTCCAAGCCATTCCAAAATGCGACCATAGGTTGAAAATTTTGTAAAGAGGAGAAAATGAGAAGATAGAATACCAGTTCCATACAAGGAGAAAAAATGGAAAAAGATTATCGAGAGAGTGAAAAGGGCCAGATGTTCAAACAGCCCAACAAAAAGACTAAAAGTCAAAATTTTCTTTTTTTTTTTCGAAAAGATTAGCTTGAAACCTTGCAAAAGGATGGGAATAGCCTGTTTTTAATCTTTGGAAACGTGTAATCCGGATATTCCAAGCGGGAATCGCGTTATGAAACTTGTAAGCAACATGTTTTTCATTGGCTAATTAAGGTTTGAAATGATTTTCGATGTTGAAAACTATTTTGAGTCATTGGAAACCTATTTTATTTTTTTATTTTTTTGACTACTGGATGGATAAAAAGGTTAAAATTTAGAACTTCCGAAAATGGTGAAAAAAACTCTAAATTAACAATATTTGTCAGCAAAATTTATGGACAAGCAATAGGAACAAAAAATGGAAAAGTTCAAGGGCGGTCAAGAGAATCCGTCACGTGCGAAACTTGGTTTGGCCGAATCTCGTCACGGTTATCAGGAAAAAGAAGAAAAAAAAGGAAGAGAAACGATAAGTTTCCATCTATCATCCAATCGGTCACCGATTCATTTTTCTTTAGTTTGGTTGGAACGAAGTTTGTGAATGGAGACAACGTCTTATTTGTTCAAATTAAGACTAAAAATCCGTTTCTGAGAAATTTTCCAGCGAGCGCTTTAGGGTTTCGACGTATTAGTGACCAATTTAGTGGTCAAAATAGTGGCCCCTTAGGTGACTAAAATTTAGTGGCCACTTCAGAATTCTACTCCAGGATCAATAAAAACTACTATAGTGGCCACAACGACAGAAAAAAGTGGCTTCTATGGAGTTTTTTTTAGTGGCAACTTTAGTGTCCTCTCCAAGTCTTGAGAGACTTCTTAAATGACCACTAAGCTTTTTCCACTTTTTTTCGATAAAAATCAAAACTTCATCTAAAAAATTAGCATTTTCTGACGAAATGACAGAAAAGGGGTATATGTCAAAAGAGCTGTGAAAATCGAGCTAAGAAAATTGAGCTGATGAAAAAATTGCCAGCGATAAAATTGCCAGCGAAAAGCGAGCTGCGAAAATTTTGCCCACCGTTGGCAAAATAGTTGACTACATATTGCGCTCCACCGATAACGCACCGACGACAGATTTTGAATTTTCGGAAAAATATTTTCATTATTTTTGTTATTTCCTATTTGTTTTCATTCATTTTCTTCTTCATTTTGTTGTGATCTCGTGTAGAAAAATTCTATTTCATTTCCGCTTCGAATGAAATCGGGCGAAGTCAGTCTATAAGAGTCTGAAAAACATTTTAATAATGAAAAAAAAATGTTTCAGGACGCTTAAAAGCAATCAGGGTGGATTGATTGATTGAATTCTTGCGATGAGGATAAGTTCGAGTATTGGTTCCGCAACTTCACGAGAGATGAAGACAATTTTCATCGGGAAACCCTGTCATGCTCACATTTTGTTCTATTTTAGGTTTTTTTTTTAATAAACTGATATTTTGTTATGTTCATCATTTTCAATATGCAACGCGCAATTAAAATTTTTAATTGATCATTAAACGCAAAATCTGGAAAAAATTATGTATCTTAGCTATCATTTTTTCTCACTTCTGAATTTTTGTCTTGTCCTTTTTTCTGACGTTTCAAAACTTACTCTCAATGATTCAACAATGTAATTTAAAAACCATTAAAAAAATGAAAAAGAAAAACTTGATTTCAAGATAATAAAGCGTCGAATAGAACGACTTTTCAAAAAACTTTTGTTGCTGCTGTCGGTGGAGCGCACAGTCGCGCGATTAACCTGCCAACGGGGGGCAAAATTTTCGCAGCTCGTTTCTCTCAGCTGTTTTTTCCCGGCAATTTCTTCGGCAGCCCATTTTTCGCTGGCAGTTTTATCTCAAACAGTGAGGAGGCTCGATTTTCGCAGCTCTTTTGACATATACCCCAGAAAAGTCAAAGATAAACTTCGAAAAAAAAAACTAACAGCAATCATGAAGACGTGGCAGGAAGCGTCGCTTGGCCAAAATTGTCAAATAATGAAAAAATCAAAGACGCAAACCACGTTTAGATTATTTATCAATTTTTTTAAGGGTCGAAATTTTTTTAAACTTTTCACATGAAGTTATTTTTTTCATCTCCGTTTCAAGCGAATTTCAAGATTTCTTAAAACTGATGAGCAACTGTTATATATGAATTACGCTACTGGTAATAGAAAAAAAGACTCATAAATGAGGTTTTTTTGAAAAAAAGTGTTCCAAAAAAACTTCGTGGACTCTTCTCAGTAATTTTTATTGGAAAGGAAACTTTTGAAAAATTAAAAAGATTATGAAAATAAGGAACAAATTTCAGAAAAAAGAAGAACTGTAGAGTCGACGAAAAAAAAAGGGGGAGGGGGGGAAAGAAAAAGCATAGAGAAGACTTTTTTGCCCCTTATTGGCGATGTAGAAAATTTTATCATTACTTCGGGCCCTAAAAAGATTCTTCTGGTGTCTGCCCGTGATCTTGAAAGAGCTTACACTTCCCAAAAAACAGCGCAATTCCAATATAAAAAAGACTAGAAAAAAGGCAGTGAAGAACGAAAAGTGGAGAGCAAACTACACGAGGCCAAGGGCCGTGTCTATGTTACAACATCCGATAGTTCGTTCTGGCTCCACAAACGCTTAATCAAATCCCATCCAACTGAATCTTTGTCGCTCCAATCAATCAGGTAGAATTCGAATCGACTGACCAATAATCTCTCTTGAAATCACTCGTTTCTTCTATACAAGTATATATACAAAATTTCATCGAATTCCAATACCTCCACCTTTCACACTTCCCGTGTAAGATTCATTTTTCGGAACTTTAAAGCATCGATCATCGCGGATCAGAAAGTATCCCCTCACTTCCTTAAAAATCGAAAATTCAATGATTTTGCTTTGCCAAGACCTTCAATCACCCTGTTAACGTAGAAGACCCTTTTTCAATTTGAAACATCTTCTACCTTGCCTGAACTTCTTTATTGCCAGTGATTTATTTGATGACCAATAAAAACCCTTCCCAGAAGAACCATAGATCTACTCTCACCCCAATTCTCAAAGATCGTTCGGTTCAGTCCAAATCATCAAGAATCACGCTAACGAAACTTTTTCCATCCATCATTATCTTCAGGTTCGCGGTCGGTTTGAGAACGGCGAGAGGTTTTTTTTTTGCAAAATAAAAGTCTGACCAAAGAAAAGAACTAAAAGAAGCTGGACAAGACGCTCATTTCTACCAAAGAACTGATTTTCCACGCCTTAGAAGGTAGCGAATATCGGAAATATGGCTGCTCACCGAGTTGGTCCTGTTGCGTCCTCGCATGAAGTCGACCATAGTCGTGACTGGACTCCGTTTCTTGGAGGCGTCGCCGTTGGTGTTGGCCAGCTGGGTGTCGACGAACAGTGGCCGCCGTGGCGAGTCCATCGAGGACCTTGGCGAGTTCGGGTTCGATCCGCCTGAAAGAAGAATGGTTTAGGAAAAAGAAATGCGAAAAGAAAAGTATTTAAAGTGAGCATTGGGTTCAAATTTCTCGAGAACAATCAGTTTGTTTATTGATATTTCTCATTCGACTCGGCCTTAGAAAGTGTGGCATGTCAGTGCCCTCTTTTCTCCAACCGAAACCTCTTCACTTTTAGTGAGAAAAGAGAGGGTGCAGACGATCAGACTGGCAGGAGTTCCCAAAAAAAAGTAACTTGATTAAATTTCACCTCTAAAATTTGCCTTAAAGCCTCAGGATATATCCTTCAACAGAATGATCAAAAATCAATAAAAAAAATTGAAGTATTTGAACCAGAACGCTCCGAAAAACCCTCAAATTCTCTTTGGCTCCCGATGCACCCATGCGCCTCGATTAAAAACATCAAAGACATCCAAAACGACTTCTTCCAAATTATGCATGTCTTTCTGTGAATACGTAATTCCTACACGTGTTCCGTTAATTCAGAGAAAGAGTCGATGAAACTCTGAGAAAACTACTTTTTTAAAAGTTTAAACCAGAGCTGCTGTCGGGGCGCACCGTGGCGACCGACCGATAAACTCTAAACAAAATTCAACAGAGCTTTTATTTTCTGACGGTACTTATTTTTTCTTCTGATAATAGAAAAATGCACTACCTTCGCCACTAAAACTGGTAAAAATCTATTGATTTTTGAAACGAAGCTTTACTGAAGCCTTTGAGTAAAAAAAAAGAATCATTTTTCTAGGTCACCAAAAAGGTAAAAATCCACTACTTCCTCCTCCAGTGGCAGCGCTGGCGAGAGCGCCAAGCTTCCCGTCGACGCTGAGCAGTCGCTTCCGGAACTTCTGAAGGACGCCTCGGGCAGGCAACGGGGCCGGATGAGCGTCGTCCAGTTCAGAATCGTTCGCGGTCGGCGTAGGCGTGACCGGCGTCCTCGGCGAGTCCGTCGGAGTAATCGGAACGGAAGACGTGGCCGACGGCGTTGGTCTCGCCGCCAGCAGGACGATCAGAGCTCCAGGCGACGTCGGCGCCGTGGCCAAGGGAGTCTTCGGCGATCGGAGGCCGAAGATAGTGCCTCCAGACGACGGGTACATGTAGGTTGGCGTCGCTGGCGCCGATGGAGACATGGTGGCGCCTAAGCCGCCGCCGCCGACGCTCGACGTCGACAGCGACAGCTTGCACGGCTTCTCAGTGGCGAGCGTAATGGTGAGCTTGGATTTCAGTGTTTTTTTAGTTGATCAAGGAGTTTGAAGAATGAAAATTGGCTTAGTAGTTCTCTCGGGCGGTGGAAAAGTACATAGTTCAACTGAAAATAAGGAAAAGGTGTCTGTAATCGAAAAAAAAAACACGATAAAAATATCACGAATGGAAAATACCAAGATCAGGTAGTTTTAGAAGATGAAAAAAATGAGGACCATCAAGGTATAAAAAAAGCAAGAGATGGTTTTCAGTACAACACTTTTTCTTGACAAAATTTTTTTTGCGTTTCTTAAAAATTGACTACTTATTGAAAAAAAATTGCACTTTTGAAGGTTCCAACTTGAAGATGTAGACTTGAAGCCATTGAAATTCATGATACTAAACTTGAAAATCCTGATAAACTTTGGAATGAGATAGAAAAATCAGAACTAAATTCTTATCCAAACTCTGCAACTGACAAAAACAAAACAATTTTCGGGAGAAATTCGCCAAAATCAGACCAGAGTACGAATCTTATTCAATTCAAAACAAGTTCAGATACAAATATTTTGAACAGAAAAACGATTCCAATCGGCTGCAAATTTTGCAGAAAAAGTCCAATATTCTGGTAGAAAGAAGGAGAAACTCGACTTCGTGAGCTCAAAAAGCGACGGAAGAAAATGACAAGCAAAAGCTCTCTTCTTCGTCAAAAAAGGACTGAGAAACGCCACTGTTATATACACGTTTTGCAGGCCAAAAAACCAAAAATAAAAGGAAATAAATTGGTTGGAAAAACGACAAATGTGGGATAATCAATTCATGGGGAAGCCACCCATTTCACACGTTTCTTTATGCTTTTTTGACCGTTTCCGAACGTAAAATTGGAAAAAAAAGAAAAAGAGGCGAAAAGATCAGTTTTTATGATGGATCGTAAATCAACAGCACTTTGGAAAGATCTCCGCAGAAAAAGATCGTTTTTTGTGTTGAAATTCAAGCTATCCTTTTTAAAAAATTTTTTCCAGCATATATTATAGCTTCCGAAAATAATTTAAGATCGAAATTCGAAGTTCAAAAAAAAAAATAAGAGCTTTCAGTCCACTGTTTTCTAATCAGCCACATTTGAAAATAATATGCTTCTGACAGAAAAGTCATAATTATTTAATTCAATGTTCGAACGACTTTTTTCTTCTTGAAGAACTCACAAATCTTCAATTAAAAGTAAAAACACTTCTAACCAGTTCAAAACAAATTATCAAGCAATCAAAGTGTAACTAGATAATTTAGAAACTCAAACATCGAGTTTATAATTGGAAGAGATCCGGAAGAATAATACGGTTTAGTTTAAAAAAACAAAAATAATTATTACAATTTTTTTGGATTCAAAAGTATTTCCAGTAATTCAAGCGCAGCTAAAAAAATGAAAAAAATGATTTTTTTAGATTGAGGATGGGTCTGACTAAAACTCAATGAAGCTTTGAAAAATTACTTTGAAGACCGCTAAAGTTTGAAAAACTTGAATTAAAAAAACCTAGAAGCCAAAAAAAAAAATTGGTTCCATTCTTGATTTTAAAATCGATGAAAAACTGCTCAGAACTTCAAAATAGGTAAAAAAAAAAACAGGAGAGCCTTTCAAAATGAGTCTTTTAAAATCTTTATTTCGTACGCCTAAAAGTAAAACGGCCAATTTCAAAAAATTCACAGTTATAAAGTGAAATTACCAACCTTGTAAGATGTCAAAGGTAACACTTAAAAGCAGATTATTGAACTATTTGAAAAAAAGTGAACAACAAGACTATAGTCCGAAACAAAAAGCACGGAAATCACTTCACCAAAAACGATTAAGAGGCCAATTCAACCACGAAACAAAAAAGGGCCCGAATCTGCCCCCAAACGAATATGTCCGCCGATTTCCCTTGTCCGCCCACAAAGAATAATCGCTTTTGTCGTCCCTGCCCATCTCTAACATGTACAAAAAGTCTTATTCGGAACGCGGATTTCAACAAAATAGCCATGGAAAAATAACGAAAATATTCTCGGAAAAACTATTCCTTCAAAATGAAGCCTTTGTAGTTTGGCGCTATAAAGGTAATCAGAAAATATATGCTCAAGTGTGGGAAAAAATTATCGTAAAAAGTTTTAAGCTCTACTATCGAAAAGAAAAAAATTTAGCTCGAAAAAAAGCTTCCAAAAAATAGCCGTTAAAATATATAGTTCAGAGCTTTTGCGCCCCATTGCTAATCAGAACGAAAAACCCGGAATGTATAGATTTTTATCAAATTTACAAATTTTGTTAGATCTACGCAATAACAAAACATGATAAGTTCTAGTTTCTCTGCACTCTCCCATATTTACGACCTATTTTCATATTCCTATGACCTCGCCGACGAGTGAAAAGAGACGCAGACAGGTCAGAATGCTTTAAATCTTAGTGAATGAACTACACCAAGAGAAAATTTCAATTTTCAAAAAAAAAAATCGAAATTTACTTCGAATTTCGAAATCACCGGTCAAAAAAACTGTCAACTCATCAATTTTCTAATCAGAGGGAAAATCAATCACTGGAAAGATCAAACCGATTTTTGACCATCATTTCTTATCAACTTATAAGGGAAAATCGTCTTATCAAATGCACAATACGTGCAAAAACCAGCCATCTGATAAAATTTGTACAAAAGTCAATAATAAATGGCTTGGAATTAGGGGAGAAAGCAACTTTTTGAGCAAAGCACTTGAATCTAAACCAGGAGCCGATATTCTGGAAAGATCGGAACGATTTTTTGATGATGAAAAAGGGACATTCTAAATTGAAAAATTTAATTTTCCGCGGTTACCATTTAGTGGTTGCGTCGGCATAGAAGGCGCGAATTCATGCAGTAATTTTTAAAAATGCGCCCGACCCAAAACGGTTTCCGCATCATCTCATCAGCAAGCAGAAAACTGCTAAGTTTCAACTCAATCGTGAGCAATTCCAAATGCGACTAACAGTTGAAAAATCGAGGTGAGTAAAGTGACTTCTATTCATTAAAGCATTTTTTTACTCTTTCTGAATCAGAAAACGGAAATTTGTAGTAGAGCACATGACTAGATTCAAAAAAAAAGCTTATCACGAATCAAAAAAAAAACGTCAGCATATTCTCGATTGTTTGTCAAACCCAATTAACCGAAATGATGATATGGGCAATAATTTATCTAGTTCGTAATTTTTAATCTGAAAAAAGAAGGCTCAAAGATCACAGATCAATCGAAATTTCTATAGAATTGTTGAGGTTTTTTTTCTGAAAGTGTATAAACCGCAGCTAAAAAAAATAGTACAAAAAAGCAGGAGCGAGAAAAACTTCGAAAAAAGAACGTCTTGTCAGCAGCGGTTCGGGTTTCGTTTCAGTAAAGCGGACAGCTGATTTTATGCTTTCGAAAAAGTCATTTTTGATGAGGACAAAAGCTCAAAACTCCTTTAGCTCCATTTGAATCACCTATGATTTTTCTAACTTAATTTTTGAAAATTGAATCGACTTCGCAGGTTTCAAGTATCAAGATTTTAACCTCTACTCTATTACGCCGGACATTTTGAGCACCTTTCCAACGTTTCAAAGAGAACCAAGAGATGAAAAATGGACAAAAGATAAAAACTATTAACTCATCGGGTTTCCATTCCTCTCTTTTGACAACGTTCAAAGCTTCAACTTAAAAATGAGATTTCAAAATAAGAAAACTATTTTTCACGAGCAGAGCTTGTTCGAAAATATTTTCTGAGTTTTTTAAAGGAGCATAGACAAACTTTATAAAGGTCTCAAAGCGAAGAGCCGTTTTCAGTACTACTTCAGGTCTTTCTGCAATTCAAAAAAAAAGTTTTTTTGAACAATCTTTAAAAGTCAAAATGCGCTCCAAACAATGCCTTGTTCAAAGTCAGCGAAATTCATTATCTCTGGTTCTCCAAAATATAGTTTTCTTTTTCTTTCTCTGACGACTATTTCGAATTTCGCGGAATCACTCCGAATAAGACATCAATTCAAATTCTCAAGAAAAAAACAAGTCAATTACCCACTAATTCGGTCCAGAAATCACATCAAAACACACCCCGTCTCCCATTACTTTCCCAAATAATAACGCAAATTACACCGTCGTAAAAAATTTTCGAAACAAGTTTTCTGAAGGAAATCTGGAGAAGGGACCTGAAACGAACAGAAAAAAGAGTGGGGGAGAAGAAGAACAAAGACGTGAAAAAAAAGGTTGGGATTGAAGTGACGGAGTGTAATTCGTTCCGATGGACAGGTTTAGTAACCTTTTTTTCTGCTGGGGAAAGGAAACGTGGCCTAATTTGGAGAGGGACCAAAGGATACGTTTTGAAATTTCATTTTGAAAAAAATGTTTTTATTTTGAGATCAGGCTCATCAAAACAGTAATCTTATAAAGGATTGGAGCCGAAAAATTTTGTTGGATCTTCAAAAATTTTTAAAATGATGTTCTAAAAATTTTTTTAATCAATTCGAGAGATCTTTCCTGCCTTTAAAAAAACAAAAAAAGTGAGTTCAAATTCGTTCTAAATAGTAGACTTGTATAAGAAAATTGATATTTTCAAAACTTCTATCCAATAAAACACGCTAAATCAAAAATCGAATTTTAAAGAATTTTTTCCATCAATTGTGTCTTTCTCGATTCCTTTTTCCTTCTTGAATATTATAACAACCTACTCAATAATTCATTAGAGCATAAAGAAGTGAATGAATTGAGAAATGAGAAAAAAAAACAAAAGCGAGCCAAAAGCAGTTGAGAATTTAATTTAGGGGAAAAGGCCCAATATTCAAGAACATGTGTGCTTCATGGATACATTCCAAAAATAATGATTTTCAAAGGAAATTTTCCCAATATGGTCCGATGATTCTTTTTTAGAAAATCTCAAAAAGCTCAACTTTGAATTTGGAGATTTGTAAAATTATTAAAAGAGTCCGAAAATCATGAAAAATGTTTTCGATTCTGTCTAGAAATTTCATGATCGCACTTTTAATGGCTGATAGCAAAAAAGCTTTTTTTTTAGTGCAACTGACCTAAAACTACTCTCCCGCCAGGGTATAAGGAAGGAAGAAAACAGCAATTTGAGCCATTTGAAGTGTGTTCCAACTCAGAGCAAAAAAGTATAGAACACTTCCGGATATCCGCCAGAACTAATTCGTTTAATGGGATTAACCGAAGAAATCTAAATCTCTACATTCTCGTTTTTATTCAACTAGTACACTCATAATCTTCTCATTCCCAACATCTAATTTCAAGAAAAACAGTGAAAAACCTTCAAATTACTCATTGAGAATGGGAATCTCTTTGGGAAAAAGGCCTAGATTTTCTTATTTCAACGATGAAAAGCCAATGGTTTGTTCGAGGGGGAGGAATGAG